AAAAGAGAGAAATTTGAGGTCAATATTTTCGAAAATCTCGTTTCTCAGGAAATTAGTTCATCCTAATTTGGAATGAGGTCAATAGGGAAATTTCGGTTTTCTTGGAGTTTGGGAATTGCTAGTCCTCAGGTGCCGGGAAGCCACGGATTTTAGGGACTCCATTGGAACCCTGGGAGCTCGGCACTTCTACAATCCATTATCCGTAAACTTAGTCGGGCTCTGTCTGACTGCTCGGCCGTGCCTTTTTCAGTTCTATCCACAGATTTCCAGGCAAGGTTTAGGTTGGCCTGCAATTTCCACAACAAAACAGCCGCGGTGAGTGAGGAGGAAAAAAATTAAAATTCCCCGCATCCCAAAAGGAAAACCTTGAATTAAAACCAGCCCCAAAACCGCACCTACCCCAAAACCCGTGAGAACCCAAGAAATTGGGGATGTCCAGCAGCGCAGTGGACGCCACCAGGGTTTGCTGGGGGAAGGTGGTGAGGATGGGTCCGGGGTAAATCATGGTGTAGGGTGGACGGTTGGGTTCCACGATGTCGACCACGGTGTCGGGACAGCGGACSACGCAGGTGCAGTTTCGGGTCACGGTGAAGGTTTCGGGGCACGCCAACCCCGAGGGCAGGCAGCACTCGTGGAAGGGAGACATGRGGGTGAAGRCARACCTGGAAAASAGTGAGGAAAAAAGGGAAAAACKGGGGAAATCCGGCCTGAGTCCGGCGGGAAATTGCGCTTTTTAAAATCTCTGTTTTGCTGATGTGGTGATGGGATTTTTGGTAAATTGGGGATGGTAAAGAGGTTGAGTGGGTGTTGAATGTTTGCCCAGTTCAGTTTCCCAACCAGGAACTCTCATCCTTCCTAAAAAACCCTTCTGAAATTCCTTGTTGTCAGCATAATTCTATTTTTTAGACCACCACTATTTTGATCCCAAAAAAATCTCATCCTATTGCTTCCCATCCCGGGATTTTCATCTCGTCTTTCCCGGTGCTGAAAACCACAACTCCCAACTTGATCCCTTATTTGAAACTTGGATTTTAATGCTCATTTGAATCCCAAATGCGCGGGGTGAAGCTCGCTGCCTCCTCCCACCCGGTTCCAGGTGGAACATTGAGATCCAGGCTGCAGATCCACCCATTTTTATGGGTCTCATTAGGGGTCAGGAGGATTTTTGAAATCCCAGAGCCTCCTATTGAGGCCAGATTTTTTTTTTTCTGGGCATCGTTTAATTACAGATTAAAGGCTGTGCTTGCCCTGGATTGTGCCCACACGGATTGGGCAAGGAAAACAAGGATGGAGAAGGGATCGTTCCCCTCATTTTACCCTTGTGGAGCTGCTGGGGAAGGGATTTGGGGCTTGAAGGGATTTCCTAAAAACAAACTCCCACTTTATCCCTGGGATTCTGTGGTGGACCCAAAATCAAGGGGGGATTTCTTCCGTCTCCACCTGAATATCCCAATTTAACGTCCCCAATCCTCGGGGAATTCTGAACCTTTTTCCCATGGATTTAGGTGCAATCTCCTTAGATGTGAAGGTGAGGAAAAGGCGGCCACTGAGTGGTTTGTTTTTAGCCAAAAAACTGGGTCTGGCTTTTGGGATTTTGGATTTTGGTTTTGGGAAAAGAAGGTTGATCGGAGGGTTGGGATTTTCGAGTGATTCCACACAAGGAATTTGCCAAAGCTCATCCCAGARCTCCTKRAAAAGGAGCCCTTGGATGTTCCTTCTCCATTCGGAATTGAACACTATAAATAGATATATTTATATGTATTTATATATAAATATTAATATAAATATATTAGTGTATATATATAAAAATATCTTAAAAGTTATTTTAATCCAAACCAGCAGTAAAGCGGCCTTTTTTAAAAGGAAAAAAACTGTGTTCTGCTCTCTGTGATATTTGGAAAATGTTTAGGATAAGTTGTCCAACTTAAAGGACAACGGAGCCTCCTTGAAGACAGCTGAGGGTGATAACAGCACAAAAATTAATTTTTTAATGACCATTTCTTTAACGACTCCAAGCTTTTAGAACATGAAAAGAGCTCCATGGGATTATTGGGAACCTTTAGGATTCCGAGGGAGTTTTCTGTGCCCTGCCTGGTTTCCACGAGCCGAGCTCGGCCCTCTGAAGTGCAAAACTGAATTAATTTTAATTCAATTAATTAAAAAACGAAGGACACCTTTCAGGCCGAGCACCCCCTTTGCCCTTCCGCGGCCTCGCCCTGTCATTTGCCATTCAGATAGCGACAATAAAAATAATAACAACAATGGATTCAAAAAGGGAAAAATAATTGATTCAAAATTGACTTACCCGGCTCACCAAGGAGAGGAGGAAAAGAAAAGTGATTTGGGGAGGCGACAAACGCTTTTATAGCTGTCCCAGGAGCGCCTGGAGGATGTGACACCCTCTTTGCATGAAGTCTTAATTAGTTGCAAAACAAACTTTGCTGCCTGCATAATTCCTGCCGCTAATGAAACTGTTTTGCTCCCCGTGTTTGCTCCCTCCCCGAGCGTGCTGGGCCCTTGGGGCAGGATTCATTTTGCTCTTTCAAAAAAGCCCAAAAAGGGCTTGATTTGCTCCCGATTAATCAGATTTTGGGGATAGCGGGGCTTGCTCCAGGTGCTTTTGCTTGCGTTGGGTTTTCCCTCTGAAATTTTGTGAGAGGGATTCCAGGCAGATGAAGAATTAGCAGTTCGTGGTGGGGACCAGCTTTGTTTTATATTATTTTATATTATTTTATATTATTTTATACTATTTTATATGATTTTTATATTATTATATATTATTTTCTATTATTTTCTATTATTTTCTATTATTTTCTATTATATTATTTTGTATTATTTTCTATTATTTATTTTGTATTATTTTCTATTTTATATTGTTTTATATTATTTTAATATTATTTTTATGGTTCTATATACTTCTTAATAGATCTTATATTGTCTTTATATTTTTCTGTGTTTATAAATGAAGATTAATATATAAATAGATATTTATATATAAATATATGTAAACATTTATATATATATTTCTATTTTTACTTCTATTTTGTAAATTTATTTCATATATTTATATATAAAAATAATATATATTATAATATATAAAATATATATTATGTACTTTATTTTATTCTATATTATTTGTTATTTAATTTATTTATTAAGAAATAATCATGATTATTTATATCAACATATAGAATCTATAATATTTATTACAATAAAATAAGTGTTATAATACATAGGTAATATTATTATTTTAATTTCTTTATTTTATTGAATTTTTAAAACTATTTATATAATTTCCCGGTTCTGTCCAGCGTGGAATGGAATTTTTTTATCCCAAAAAGCCTTCCCAGGGCATTAATTGTGCCCCTGCACTGCTGGAAATTCATGAATAAGGAGAACAGTTCCACAGATTCTCAATTTCATCTTCAGCTTCAGGAGTTTTGGGACAGAATTAAGGGGGGGGGGAGTGAAGCAGACAAGAAATAATTTTATCTTGATGAAAACTTAGTTTAGCACAAATTAGAGACGCATTTTAAAACATAAAACCATTAAAACATTGGAGAAATGGGAGTGGGCAATTTGTCGACATCTTTAAGTGAGCCAGCCACGGATTTAAAATGTTTTTATTCCGACTTTAAAGAGGAAATCAAGGACAGAAAAATCATAATTAACAGATGAACCGGGATTCTCCCGGAAAGAGATTTCTGAAGGATCCACCAGCCAGGAAATTTTGGGATAAGAGCCCCCAGACTGATTTATTTACCGGATAAAAGATGTCCTTAATTTAAATCCCATTGGAATACCAGGATAGGGCTCATTTAAATATTTGGGGACACCCTTAAAATCACAATAAAATCCCAAATCTGCTTAAATGACTCGGGATCGGCCCGAACCCTTTTGTTCCCCGTTCCCATAAAAATTTTTGCCTCAGGACCCCTCTCGGGATGCAGATGAATTATTCCAGGAGGGAAAATTGGAGATAAATAATAATTAGGAACAAAGAGATCCTTCCTGCCGGTTTGGGAGGCAGCTCCTGGCAGTGGAATAAAAATCACCTGGAATTGGAATTTGCTTTTGTATTCGCTTGGAATATAAATCTTGGGAAAATAAAACTTGGTGGAAGTTCCATCCCTGGAAGCGTCCAAGAGAGGTGGGAATGTGTCAGGAAATAACTTAAATTAATATTTTCGGGGTTGTATTAAAGACGTTCTGCAGGGTTAATTCAGCTGAGGTGTCATCAAGGGAGACACACTGGGACACTGCTATATATTTATTATTTATGTATTTATGTATTTATGTATTTTGTATTTACGTATATTTACGTATTTACGTATATTTATGTATTTATGCATTTATGCATCTATGCATTATGTATTTATGTATTGATGCATTCATGTATTCATGCATATTTATTTATTTGTATCTATTTGTATTTATTTGTATTTATTATATATTTATTATATTTTTATTATATTTTGTATCTATTCGTATTTAGTATATATTTATTATGTTTTATGTGTGTGTTTGTCATTTCTATTTCAGCATTATATTTTATTTATTTATATTTGTATATATTTATGTTTATATTTATCCACATTTTATATGTATTCATGTATTTATGTATACTTACGTATTTATATATTCAAATAATTATTTATGGTATATTTATTT